TTTTTTCTTAATTGTGTTTGTGAAGATACTGGTACATGATTATATACTTTGTTCATTTTCACTGTTTAGAATTCCATCATATGGACATACTACAACTTATTTATCTACTCTCCTGTTGATGGACATCTATGTTGTTTCTAATTTCCCGTTATTATCAAGAGTGCTGCAGTGGACATTCTTGTCTACATTCCTTCCATATATGTGGAGAAGTTTCTTGAAGGCAGGATGTATTTTATGAGTAGAACTGCTTGGCATGATGGGGTGTGCATTTTCAACTTAATCTACTTATTGCCAAATTGCTCTTTAGAGTGATTACAACAACTTACATTATCCTATCAGTATATAAGATTTCCCATTCACCTATAGTGTCACCAACATTTTATTTTATTATTTTTTAATTTTTTTATCATTCTTTTTTTATTATTAAGGTATCACTGATGTACAATCACATGAGCAACCACAAGATTACTACATTCCCTCCTACTATCAACATTTTATTTTTATACTTTGCCAATCTGATGGCAAGAAATGGTATCTCATTATGATTTTAATTATTCACATTTGCCTAGTTACTAGTGAATTGAGCATCTTTTCATTTATGTATAAGCCATTTAAATTTCTTTTGTGAATTATCCATTCATACCTGTATCAGCCAGAGTTTATTTATAGATAGCAACAATCATTCTATATTAACCAGTAAGGGATTTAAAAGAGGATACTAAGTGCTTTCTAAATTAGTGGCAGGGCTGGACAAGTAGGCCACAGAACAGGCCGCTAGGAATGAGTCCTAGAGCAATACTATAGGAATGGACCTCCAAAGATACTGCTATCTCTGCAACAATCAGAAAGTTGGACAATTGGGTAGCTACTGTCCCTGCTATTAGCTTCAGGATTCCATAACTTCAGACACAGTCTACTGCCAGAACCATTGACTTCAGACAGTATAGTGCCTGTCCCATTAAATGGACAAGAACCACCTCTCTTCTTCTTAGCTCATTCTAAACTCGGGGATCATGTGAAATCACATGATTGGTGGGGCTGAAAGCACATCTTGGAAACTTGCCTGCCAAGGAGTCTGGGAGGTTGGGTTTTAGCTCTCCAGTTTCAGTATTACAGTATTACAACAAGACCTAATAGGAGGCGGTCAAAACTGACATTGAATCAACCAAAGTACTGTATTTGCAACAATATCCTTTGTCAATTGTTTTTTAGATTGCTTTGTTTTAATGATTCATAGAAGTTGTTTATATGGTCTGAATATTAAAATTTGGCAGGTTACATTCATTGCAAATATCTTCTCCTGATTGGAAGCCTCTCTTTTCCTTTTGATTGTAGAATTGTTTGATAAACAGAATATTTCAGGATTATTATAGTCAGATTTATCAATCTTCTCTTTTGAGGTTTGTACCTTTTATGCCTTATTGAAGAAATCTTTTCCATATGGAGAGCACAAAAATATTTTCTTATGTTTTCTTCTAAGAATTTTAGAGTTTCACCTTTAACATTTAGGTCTTTTACTTAGGGTATGATGTGGGATTGCATTTGTTAGTTTTTCTACATGGGAAGCCAATTATCCCATGGGCGAACCTTTTCCCAGAGACTTACAATGATACTTATGTCATATATCAAGTTCCATATTTACTGTGGCCTATTTCTGCACTCTCTAACCTGTTCCACTGATATGTTTGCCCCATGTCAATACTATACTTTTTCATTATTATGGCTTTCAAGTAGATCTAGATATCTGATAGGATGGGTCTCCCTACCTTGTTGTTCAGAATTGCCTTAGCCATTCTTTGCCTTTTACTCTTCCATATATATTTTAGAATCTTATTTTCATTTTGCATTTTTAAAACAAAAACAAAACAAAACCCTGTTGGGAGTTTTATTGGAATTGTATTGAATCAGGGAAGAATTTTTATCTCAATGATATTGAGTCTTCCTATCCATGAACATGGTATGTTCCTTCTTGTAATTAGTTCTTAAATATATTTTAATCAAGTTTTATAATTTTCTTTATACAGTTCTTGTGCATCTTCTGTTCAGAAAGTTTTGGAGAAATAAATATTTATCATTATATAAATATTTTTATTGTGCTATTATCTTTCTTTAAATTGCACTTTTAAATATTGTTGATCTATATACAATGTGATTTATTTTTGAACATTGATCTCTAGCAAAACTGAGGAACTCTCACTTCTTATTTAGTTTTTAGTTCATATAAAACCTATTAAAGCATATAATTTAAAGAGATGGATAGTTCCATTTGCTATTAGAAACAGGAACAGGTAATTCTATAACATTTGTTAAGAAAAACAGCCTGGCCTCTTCACTTTCCTTCCCGTTCCAGCCACAACCAGGCAATTCTATAATTTTTAGCTGATTATTTTAATATTTCCCTCTATGGCTTTAAGTAGTATACATGGACTGCTACTTCTTGAGCTGTTGGTTTAGGCATTCTTTGACTTTCCACTATGAAGATGAAGATTTAGCTATTTTTTTAAATCCTCCTTCCACCTCACATACACACCCTTCCCATTACCCTATTCCCCAAGTATAGTTATATATAATATTAATTAGATCATTTTTATTGTTTTGTGTATAAATTTAATTTGTAATTGAACCAAGTAGTAACATGTAATAACTTTTATCTTTTTTGCCCAATTTTTTGTTATAACAATTGTTTTGTGTTTGTTAGTTTATTTCTTCATTTTGATGTTATTTATATGATTGTCCCTAAATAAACACCATATTCTTTACCAATTCAGTAAATCAGTTCTCAAGACATTCTAATACTTTGTGAAGTACTCTGGTCCAATCTGTTTGTCGTCGCCTGTAGCCAACAGTCAATCCTAGGATTTCCATTCATCTGTCCTAGGGATTTCTTCAGTTCCTCTCCTGTATTAGATCACCAGTTTCCCATGTCCTGTGTCTTCCTCTTTATTTATTTATTTATTTTGGTGGAGCACATTCTTTTATAGTTTCCTGAGAACAGGCACATATGAGATAACTTCTCTAGGCCTTTAAGGTTCTTCAGTTTCTCCTCAACATATTTAAATATAATTCTTTTTTTTTTTTACTTATTCTGCTTGGGACTTGTACTTACTGGATCTAAGAAATCATGTCTTTTGTAGATTCTGACAGTTCTTGTCCTATCTCTTCAAACACTGCCTCTCCTCACTCTCTATTTTTGCCTTCTAGGAGCTCAGATTTGATCCATGCACTTCCATATTTCAACATCCAGATCCCTTAAATTCTCTTTCAAATTTCCATGCTTCTCTCTCTTTAGCATTTTGGATAATTTTTTCAGATCCACCTACCCCTTTCTTAGTTCATTTTGCTAGGTATCTGTTTAATCTGTCTATTCAGTTTTTAATTTCAAAGGCTAAAATTTTAAGTTCTAGAAGTTCTTTTAAAAATTATACAGATCTTAATTTTTTTATATAATGTCTCCTTTTCCTGCTTATTTTATAGTTTGTCTGATATTTTGATTATCTGATGTTCTTGAGGTCTAATCCTGCCAATTATTGCTTCTGCTTTTGCTCACTTAAATGGAGTTCTTGTAATTTTGGATTTTAAATTCACCTTCAGGACAGCATAATTTGTTGGAGTACCATGTGGCCTAGGTTAAGGATGTTTTCTTCTGGACACATTTTATTTATCCTATGGGCACTCAGAATAGCATTTAGTACAAAACCTTTTTTGTTAATTTCTCAACTTTGGATTACTTGGACCATATGCATAGTATTAGTCTGAATGAAAAACCCAGTGAAGGCAGGCCTGTTGTTATGAATTTCCAGAGACTTTTTGTCCTCACACAGGACCCAAGCCAAGATGGAGAAATATCTTTGTCATCTTCTGGGTGGGTGGGAGGGGGATATTTTTTTCTGATCCACCATTTTCCTAGAGTCCCTGGGGGTCACAGTTCTGTGAAGGAGCTTGTCTCCTGCTCCTGCCTGGGCACCAACACTCAAGTCCCTGGTCCACCAAACTTGACAGTGCCCTCTTTCCTGCCCAGTTGTCCACTTTGGGCCACCATTGTGTCAGCCTAGCTGCTCCTGCTGTGGTTTTCAGTTCCCTCTGTTTTGGGGCCCTGCTGATTTCCTTTACTCTGTGGCAGGCCCTGCCATGCAGTTAAAAGGAAGTTTATTATAGCTGATGCAGCATTTCTAGGCATTTTGTAGGAGGGAGGTTTTTCAGGCCATCTTGTCCACAGTATTGCCATTTGTACTTATTTTGTTCCTTCATTTTTCTCATTTATACTTTTTAAGCTTAGAGATAAAAATGTGGGAATTTCAGAGAAGAAAAGCCCATCTGGTTGGGAGGGACGATGAGGAGATGTCCATCAGAGGATATAGACATGGGATGGGGCATGGCAGGTGCAAAAGCACAGAGGCAGGAAATGACCTTGCGGATATAGAGAAAAGCAGAGAGCTGTCTCACCAGAGTACTGCCTCTGAAGGGGAAAACCAGGCTGGAACAGCAGGGAAACATCTCACAGGAGGGAGTGCCATGATCTCAAGCTTTGTTTCAGAAAGTTTAAATTGGAAGCAGGGCCACGAAGGATGGGTGTGGAATTTGGGTTTGGAAAGAAGATTCTAGAGGCTGTGGAAGTATCCTGATGACAGGCAGTAAGGCCTGAACAAGGAAGTGGGGGTGCAGAGGAAGGAACCAGTGGGAGACAGAGGGTGACAGAGACTCACTGAATCACATAAAGAAATCTGGGTCAAGAGCAGGGGAAAAAAATAGAAGAAAAGCTAGGCAAGCACATGATCTGAATCCTGGGAAATGAATTTAAAATGTCAGCAATTAGCTTCCTGCTACGTTTTAAGATTGCCCAGATACTGCCCACAAATGGTAATACACAGTCCATCTTGACTTTGTACACAGCTAAAAATGTATTTAGTCCACCTGATGAATACTTGTCTTTGGGTTAGAGACAGCATGTCCCAATAGAGCCCCTGGAAGTGAGTTGGGATGCGTTCATTTGTCTTTCCCAGAACCTGCTGCCATGGCTGAACGTGGGGTTGATGAGCCGTCCTCCAGGACTGGGAGTTCGGATGGGGAAGATCAGGTCTCTGAGGATAGGTCGTTGCTCCATCAGAGGCTGGCCATCAGGGAGCTCATGGACACCGAGGTCTCCTACGTGCACATGCTCCGGCTCTGTGCCTTGGATATCAGGAGCCGTCTGCAGCAGGTACCTGGATGGGGCCACACACAGCCTGTCTTTGTGGGGGGAAATGTGGGCCCCAGCTTCTAATACCCCACTTCTGTTCCTGAGGAGATGGCTATGCAACCTGCAGCAAAGCCTTTAACAGCTTGGAGCCTTAGTGTATTCATCTGTTAGATGGGGAGAGAAATAATTACCTCAGAGAACTAAGTGAGTTATTGAATAAAATAGCCCTTTATCAAGTTTAGAACAGATTGCTTAAACTGACCTCCATTCTAATTGTCTCATTTGGAGGACAGTAACATGGAGAAATTCTCACATGATGTGTTTCTATTTTAGTGTTCATTTTACATCTCTTTTGCCCCTGATTTCAGAAATAATATAGGCTTTCTCTATAAAATTTCAAGATTCTCCTAGCATGTAAGTTCCATAAGGGTAAAGAATATTTAGTACAGTATATCTCAGTTCTTAATACGTAAATAATGGACTTGAATGAATGAAATATTCATTGAATTAGTGTTCTTGAATGAATGAAATGCTCAAGTACGTAATGTAGAAGGTGAAAGTCTTTTATGCTCCAGAAATTAGGATTTTTCTCTGTAGGCATTAAGTAAAGAAAGCTGGTTACTTATTTTCACAAAAATAAGAGCATACTCTATGTATTTTTCTACAGTTAGCTTTTCCCACTTCATTGTATATCCAGGGCAATACATAGGATTGTATATCATACACACACACACACACACACACACACACACACACAAACACACACACACACACACAAACACACATGCCTTTGTATATAGATATGTCGTGCATCCTTTTTAGCAGTGGTTAGCCTAGTTAATAAGGGCTGGAGTTCAGAATGCATCTCAAGGTAATGGTGGTATGTGACAAATAAGTCAGAGCTGGAAGGAAGTCCAACTTCTCATCCTTATAGGCCATATGGGAAAACTGAGAAAAGAAAAATGATAGGTGCCAGCAGATCTAGTATAAAACCCCAGTTCAGCTTTCCTTCTGTGCTAAGTACATCTCTTCCTCTCTTCCTGTAAAGTAACGAAATTACTTCAACTGGGGAAATTTCAAAGTCCTTGCAAACGCTCCACCGGGGCAGTCTTCCCAAGAGCGATAGGACCCTGAAGGTGTGGGTGTTCTGGGCTGCTCCCCACGGCCAGCAAATAAAGTCACTCTGCTGAACTCCCAGTAACCTCCCAAGGCTTCTTGTTTCTTCCAGCTGCCCCAGGGAGATCTGGACATCCTGTTCTCAAACATCAACGATATCATCAAGGTGAACAGCAAATTGCTTGCAGATCTGCAGGAGACAGCATCCAGGGAAGAGGAACAAGTACACCTAATTGGTAAGTAAAAGACAAGGCAGCTGTCAGCCAGCCTTAGCTTCCCATGGAATTAGCCTTGATATATGGGCACTGCTGAACTATCTTCCAGGGTTCCAGAAAAATGCATCTGGGACTCTGTTTTGGGGATCCCTGAAACATAGTATGTCAGAGCTGGCAGGACTCTCAAATAATATCTAGCCTGATCCCATTGCTTACAGATGAACAGACTGAGGCCCAGAGACAGGGAGGAACACATAGGCTAGTGTCCTGGCTGAGTCTTTAGTCTGGGGTTCTTTCAGAGTCATTCATTAACAATTATTTACTGAGCACCTGCAGCATGCCAGTCACCATGTTGTGTGCTGGGGTCCCAGCGTCAACAAATGAGTCTGAGTTGACAAGTTAGTGAGAGAGACAAGATAAAAAGATCAACAAGAGAATTTTAGGTAGTAATTTGAAATCTGAAGAAAAGAAACAATGGCAGTAACTTTTGGATGTGAGAGTAGGCTCCTGAGAAGGGGACAGTCAAGCTGAGACTGTGATGTTAGGAAGCAGCCATGAGAAGATCTGGAGGGAGAGTAGAGAGAATAGCTGTGCAAAGGCCCTGAGGCAGGGATAAGCCTGGAATATTTGAAAGACATATAGAAAGAAGGCTGGTGTGGCTCCAGGGGAGGACGAAAGTGTTAGGGGATAACACTGAAGAGGCAGAGAAGGTCCAGAACGTGCAGGGCTTTCATTGCAACTGTGATAAGAAACTGGGACAGTTTTGAGCAGGGAAGTGATATGGTCCTGTTCATGTTTTTCGAAGATCCCTTTGGCAATTGTAAACAAAGACTAGGAGTGGGTGGTGAGTGTGGAAGTAGTGAGACCAGCTCATGGCTTTACTATTGCCTAGGTGAGAGATGAAGGTAGTTTTCCTGATTCCAGAAAGGTTAGGATGACCAGAGCATAAACAAGGAGGGATAAGTGGGTGTAAATGTCTTACCTGTCTCCCTCAGTGTCTTTTCATCTGACCTGGGGCCACTTGACAACATTTCAAGGTCAGGGTTTCAAGTGTAGTTAGGGGAGGAGGGTGACTGGGTGCTGGGCAGAGAAGAGAAGGGGGGCCATGGCACCCAGTACAGTGGCCATCCAGGTCTCCCTGGCCTTTACACCAGCAATCTTCCACCTTTTTCTAGGCATGAATGATGATGGTGGAGGCTAAAAATAACAAATATACAAACAAAAAATTTTTAAAGCCTACTTCCTGAGCATTTACTAAATGCTCAGCACTTTTCTGATGTATTAACTCATTTATTCCTTGCAACTGTGCAAAGTAGATACTGTTATCTCAGTGTCAGTTGAAACTGAGTAGCCTCTCAAGGTCATGCAGCTAGTGGTGGATACAGGATTTGAATTTGGGCACTTGACCTCTGGAGCTGGCACTCTCAACTGCTGCACTGAACAGCTTCCAGGTAGAAGAGAATGGCATTAAACCTCTGTGTTACGTGTTTACTATTTCCTTGAAAATACTGTCCTTTATTAAAACAGTGATTGAATGGGTTACAATCTCCTATAAACTATAGAGGATTACAAAATTAAATAACAAGATTTTTTTTAAGTACCTGGTAGATACTCTCACCTTTTATCATTTTATCCTTATTCCTGTTACTTGAGTGGGAATTGATATGGCCTCAGGCTGAAGATTCCCTAAGGGTCTGGGAGTCTGAGGTCAGGCTCTTCTGTTGCTGTGGGTTTGGGGCTCCGTGTGGTTCCCTGGTAAGGGTCCATCTCTGCCTTCCTGCTTGACCTAAAAAGAGTCCAGATGCCGCTTTGTTCCCTGAGTACACCTGCTGACACCTCCATTCCCTGCCTTCATCGCTTCCCTGGTAGAGTTGCCAGATAAAAAACAGGATGCCCAATTACATTTGAATCTCAGATAAACAATGAGTAATATTTTTTTTTGAGTTTTTATAATTTTAATAACTATTGCAAAGCTGTTGCTATTAGTTGAATTTGATAGTACCAGCTTTCCCATACCTTTATCTCTAGTATTATTGTATTAAATTTTAAATTTTTGCTAGTCTTAATATTTCCTCTTTTAATGAATATTTCCTTAGATAATTGTTGCTCATTTGGTTGTTTGCAGGAATGCTACTCCCAACATTTTATTTATTTATTTATTTATTTATTTTATTATCATTAATCTACAATTACATGAAGAACATTATGGTTACTAGACT